TTTTCAAAATTTGCTTTGCCAAAATTATAAACAAATATTTAAATTTTGTAGTTTGAAGAAAAAAACTGAATTTTTTGAAATTAACATGTGATTTACGAAGCATGTACATAGGTATGTCTGCATTTGTTATTAATACAACTTTTTGCTAATAAGAAAGTTTGAATATATTGCATTTGTTACAAAAATTGTGCAATATCCTCAAACTTATATATCATTAGCAATTATAGCATGAAAACTATATATTTTGTTTATTATTAGGACCCTTGGAATGTGCATTTTGCCAATATTGTATATATATATATATATATATATATATATATATATATTTATATTTATATATACAGGGTGTCCGAGAACTCAACGCCAAGCCAAACGAGATGATAGTATGCCCTGAAAAAAATTAGAAAAAAATTACCTCACGTTTTTCGGAAGTTATGAGCTTTAAAGTAAAACCTTGAGCTTTGGTGAAATTGACTATTTTACGGTGGTTCATTTTTATTAATTTTGTTCGTTTAAACTTTGAAATCGTAACCGTGAATAACATCTCTAAGACTACAGTAAACAATAATAATGCAATTGCCTCAAGTTTTCAAGAATTAAGACTTTTTGTTCGACTATGAATTAAATTTTTGATATTAGTCGACTTTAAGAGGCCATCCTTTAGGATAAATGTACTAAAATGCGTTGGCAAGTGTCATCAAAAGTTGGCGCATTTAATCAGGATTGTAAAAAGGTAAAATACTTGATCATTTTATTATTAAAAAATTTCAAGTAAAAAATAAAAATCAAAAATAACGAATTTCGCTCACATTCAGTTCAAATGTTTCTCTCTTGAACTGATCGTGACTAAAATGCACTAGCAAAAATCATGTTATTTTAAGGTGTTTTATTTTTACTCAAAAAATTCCAATAATAAAATTATCAAGTATTTTACCACTTTGCATTCCTAATTAAATACGCCAACTTTTGATGAAACTTGCCAACACACTTTAGTACATTTTTTTTTAAAAGAAGAGCCTGTCAAAGTCGACCGATTTTAAAAATTTTAATTTCTTATTTCAACTAAAAGGGATAATTTTTGAAAACTTAGGGAAAATGTATTAATATTTTTTACTGTGTCCCTAGAAATGGTATTCACAGTTAAAGTTTCAAAGTTCATATATAATTTATATCATTTATTAAAATACAAAACAAAATCATTTATTCCAAATTCTGTAGTAATTAATAAAATATTAATCAATATTAAGTTCATTTTGTCAAAATTTTGCAAAAATTATAAATTCATATAATCAATTATTTGGGAATATAAATTAAATACAACAGTATCTTTTTCAGTGAAATTCGCTGAAGTAGTCTAATTTCATATAATTGTAAAAAATAACATGTAGTTTAATTTATTAATTGCAAAATAATTAAATTAAAAAAAACAGTTTTAACAGTTTCTGAAGGAGACAATTTTTATCCTCAAGACGTATAAATAATTATAAATGAAAAATTAAACAATTTTTTAGAAAAACAGGCTGTTCGTTCAAAAAAAATTTATTGTTTATTAATAAAGAAGAATTTCTTAACAAAAAAACATGCCTTTAAATTAAATTTGTTGAAATTTTAATACTATGCATAATTAATATCAAAGTCAAGTTTTTGCAATGTTTTTAATTTTATACGATCATTATTTTTAGAAAGACATTATTCATATTAATTATTAACATTATTTAGTACAAAAAATGACAAAATTGTTAAAAAAAATCAAAACTTAATCCAATTTATTAATTGCAAAAGGATTGAAATAAAACAAATAATTGGTTTTAACAGTTTCTGAAGAAGGAAACATTTTACATCTCCGAAACGTAGAAAAAAATACAAAAAAAATCTAATAAATATTTTTTTGCACACCTGAGCCCTCAATTATGTTTTTATGCATATTACTTATATTATGTAATTAAATAAATATAATTCATTAACAAAAAAAATCTTCAAATTTAATCTAATGTCATTTCCAAAATCAATTATTTATTTAAGTAAAAAAAAAAATTAAAACATATATTTATTATCAAAGTACTTTCAAAAACACATTTTTTAGTAAAAAAAAAATTACTATAAAATTATAAACAAATAACACTTTAACAAAATATGCATCTCCACGACAATAGATAGTATGGCACTAGTATTATTTTTCTGAATCTATTTTTTCTCCTTCAATTTTTCTTCATAACATTGCAAAGAACAAAAATGCCAACTATCCTCCAACTTCTTATAAATCCCTGGATTTTGACAATTTTGACATTCATTATACTTTTCCAAAGCATTAAACTCAAAAGGTTGCAAAATCTCATCATCCATCAACTCCGAAATTTTTTTCTGGTGCTCCAAAACTTTTTTACTCAAATTCTTAGGCTTCAACTCCTTGACCAACTTGGTAATAAATTTATTATAAGAGTTTGGTTCATTTTGGTAAAACTTGGACTTCATAAAAGCTAATCTATGATTGGAGATAATTGATGGTAAATTGCGTTCAGGTACTTTTGGCGGTAACACAGGAATTGGTTCATCGTCAACTGGTTTTGCATGCTTGTTCTGGTCAAAAAATTTTACTACCATGTCAAAAGGTTTTTTTAAATGTAGACCATGTATAGCAGCAGCTGCAGTGTCTAGGTGATCGTAAACAACAAAACCAAATCTGGAATTTTTGTTGGTTTTTATACAAACTTCCAGAACTTTGCCGAAACTTTGAAAGATGTTTCTCAAGCCTTTTTCGGTGAGTTCTCGTGGTATATTGGCGATGAAGAGTTTTATTTTTTCTTCGGTTTTGTATATGTGGACGTCCCCGATGTTGCCACTTGGTCTTGGTTCGAAAGAGTTGGCTTGGGAGTAGTAGTGCTTCGATATTGGGTCGAAGCACCCAATATCGAAGGACACTTGAGTTGGTTGTGAATTCTTTCCATTTTTTTCATTTTTAGAGGTGAATGGAATTGATGGTTTAGTCTTTTGGACCGCGGCACCGATATGCATCAAATGTTGATAAACTTTTTTCAATTTTTTTGTAATATTTTACTGCAAAACCCGATACGACTTGCCGGCGCAAGCAACGGAAAATTGTCATAATTACACCAAAGCTCAAGTTTGCACTTAAAAGCTCATATTAATAACTGGCCAAATTTAGATAATTTCCAACTAACGTCAGATTTTTTTCAAGACAATTCGTTTATTATGGTTAATACAAATACCCCATTTTATTTTTGATGTTAAGTTCTGGGACACTCCGTATATTAGTATTTCATGTTCATATATGCATACAAGATTGCACCTAATTCCAATTATATGCTACAAACATACCTTAAAGGGCCGTTTTTTAAATAATCGAATAACTGGCCACATTTATTTAATTTTTTATTCAATATTATATATTTAAACAGAAAACGTACAGCTAATGACCAGATATTTGTAATATATTTATAATTATGTTATCGGCTTTTAATGCCAGAATGATTTTGCGTAAAAATTTAATACGACAATTAATGTCATCGATTTGAAAACGGCTGCTGAAAATGAGGACCTAAAAATGTAAAATGTCAAGGTTATTCGGCTATTGAAAAAACGGCTTTACTATATTTTTCCTAAAAAAAATTAATTTAAGTCGAGTTATTCGACAATTTAAAAATGTATAATTATTTTCTAGAAGAAATGTTTTTGTTTTACTATTTTGTTCATGTAGATTTATAACCAAGAATTTATTATCAATTATTTATTTTGAAATATCTTGGTATTATCCATAGTATTGATATCATATAAATATTTTAGTTTTTTAACACGCTATTTTTCAGTGATAGAAATAGCCTTCGTATGTAAGGGTAATACCTGAAATTACGAATAATTGCAATATCCATTGAGTAATTTTAAAATTATTTATATTGTTGTAGTTAATAAATTGAGAACACGAAAACAATAAACTATTATACGATAAATTACAAATTGAAATTTATTTTCGAAATTTTATTGATTGCCGATTTGCATGTTTTGACGAAAAGTTGAGTTTTTGTTACGCTTAGTGCATAAATATCATGTTCATTGGCAAAGAATAATTTGCTCAAACTTATGATTCAAATTTTGTATGAAATATTTAAAGTATAATGCATTTTCTTTAATAATTTCTTATTAAAAAATTTGATTTATTTGAAGCAAATTATTCTCTAACATTTGCTCAGCTGTATGTAAACTCCATTTTGAACTGGAACTATAATTCGACTTCTGTCTACTCATTTTGTTTTAAAGTACTTTTGCATTATCATTGAGTTATTTAATATTATTTTTTTAAGAGTTCAAAATGGCAATTTACCATACCTGATCAATCACTAACCCTGAATGGTTTTATAATAATTTCAATAAGCAGTGGCACCAAATTCATTTTATTCAAGTGCAGCTTTCTAGTGTTCTGTTCTGTTTTGATAGTGCAACAAATCGTAGAAAATGATTTCGTAGGCTTTGGTAAGTTTTCGTCTTATTTCTTTTTCATTTTTTTTTGTATATCATTATATGAAAGGGCCGTTTTTTCAATAGACCGAAAACTAAGTCATATCTATTAATAATAATTTGTAAACGTTGTATTTATTTTTTAATGTGGAAATCATTAGATGATTAACAAAATTGTAAAATCTTTGATGATATCATATGATCATCAGCTGCATTTTGTACCAACAAGGAGAACCTCAGGTTTAGTGTAAACAAACTTCATCATCATGGTAAGATTCAACAGAATCCAAGAGGTGTAAATCTTATGTTCCCCTTGTGAGCCTCTTGATGATATCAAATGATCATCACCTTCAGTACTAACAAGGTGAACCTCAGTTTTAGTCATGATGATAAAGTTGATGGTTCAAACAAAACCCATCATCATGGTAAGTTTCATCAAAATCCAAGGTGAGTAAATTTGATGTTCTCCTTGTAAACACTTGATGGGGTCAAATGATCATCAGTTTCTTATTGTTTCAACAAGGAGAACTCCTGGACTAAACCTAAGGTTCTCTTTATTAGTACAAAATGACGCTGATGATCATATTGATATCAAGTGGCTTACAAGGATTATTAGATTTACTCTCATTGGACCATGGACCTTGCATATTATCATCAAAATCCCAGACGACTAAACTTGAAATTATCCTTGTTACTACAAAATGACGCTGATGATCATTTGATATCATCAAGTGGCTTAGCAAGGAGGCCGTTAGATTCACTATCCTTGGATCTTGATGAGACTTATCATGATGATTTATCAATCTCATCTCTCAGGTCTCATCAAGATACATCACCATACCTGTTTGGACCATCAACTCTTTGTCATCTGGAGTTTTGATGAAACATGGTAAAATGTTGATGGTCCAAACAAACCTGTTATGGTAAGTTTCATCAGAATGCAAGATGAGTAAATATTTTGTTATCCTTGTAAGCCACTTGATGACATCAAATGATCATCAGCTTTATTCTGTACTAACAAGAAGCACACCTGGTTTAGTCGTTTGGTAAACTTACCATAATGATGTTTTTTTTTGGACCATCGACTCTATCACCACGCAAATTTTCTTCAAAATCCCAGACGATTTAGCCTGGGATTCTCCTTGTTAGTACAAATTGACGCTGATGATCATTTGATATCATCAAGTGGCTTACAAGGAGACCATTAGATTTACTCTCTTTGGATCTTGATGAAACTTAACATGACGATTGGTTTGTTTGGATTATCAACTGTTTAAATCATTTGGGGTGTCGATGAAACATGGTAATAAGGTTGATGGTCCAAACAAACTCATCATCATGGTAAATTTCATCAGAATCTAATATTGATAAATCTTATATTCTCCTTCTAAACCACTTGATGATATCAAATTATCATCAGCTTCGTTCTGTACTAACAAGGAGAACCTCAGATTTTGGTAAACTTACCATGATGATGGGTTTGTTTGGACCATCGATTCTATCACCATGCACAGTTTCACCATTCATGATATCATAAAGTAACTTACAAGGAGACCATTAGATTTACTCTCCTTGGATCTTGATGAAACTTATCATGATGATTGGTTTGTTTGGAACATCAACTCTTTAAGTCATTTGGAATTTTGATGAAAAATGGTAATAAGGTTGATGGTCCAAACATACCTATCATCATGGTAAGTTTCATCAGAATCCAAGACGAGTAAATCTGATGTTCTCCATTTTGTACTAACAAGGAGAACCTCAGGTTTAGTTGTCTGAGATTTTGATGAAACAATGCATAGTGATAGAGTCGATGGTCCAAACAAATCCATCATCATGGTAAGTTTTATCAAAATCCAAGATGAGTAAATCTGATGTTCTACTTGTAAGGCACTTCAAGCAATAATCGAAGAAATCTGACAACAATGTCTATTGAGTGTAAGTGACGCAGTTTACAGATTCAAGTTTGTATGCAAATCATTTAAGGAATATTGCATATATTTTTATAGATTTTATCTCTTTTTGATTTTTTCTGCCAACTTGCTGTCTAATTTAAATCTGCAATGAAGGAACTGACTCATTAGTGCTTGCGAGCAAAATATAATGGAAAAATCTAACCTTTGTGAAAATAAGTACAAGTAATATAATTCATTTATCGTCAAGAAATTACTAAGTTCATGATGAAGTAACCAACTATACTTATTTGGGTAATTTTTAATTTCAATTCTTTTCGAAAAAATTGTATCAATTTCATAAAAGTTGACTTATTTTGCTTGACATTTTATATTCACTCAATAGACAAATGTTTATTTTTTGCCTTGAGCAGATTGAAGTTTCAATTTGTTCAAAATATTCTTCAACTATTTGCATTGCATATATTTTCGATTATATATGATGATTTCTATATAAAAGTCATTATGGTTGTCTTTTGCCTGTTTCATATAGATTTTCAGTTTATTCTTGAAGCATGCTGATATTGTAATGATATTTTATTTTACTTTAAACTGAATTATTTGTAATTCTTTTTTAACTACAGAAAAAATGTAAGTTATCTGTTATCTCTGTCAAATAAAGATTGACGAAATATCATTACATGTATTGTGTATGTGTATGATTATATGTTTATATTATATGAATACTCGAAAAAGCGGCCCTTATGTATATTTTCTTGTTTGTCTTATTGGAAGATGTAGATGTTTTTGTCTTTAGATACTCAAATATAAAAGGCAGCTTCTAATTCGCCAATAAAACGATTCAAAAATTGTGTTAACGAAAGATCAAACCTGTTTTTTAGATCAAATTTTATTTAATACTGATTTAGTAGAATTTGTTTAATATATAAACCTAAACTAGTATTTAACAACAGATAGAGAAAATCAAAATTCTTTTAACAGATAATTTGTAAATTGAGTATATTGTTTTCCAAACCATAAACTATGATCACAAATACGAAAACTGAACTCAAAAATTTGAGTTATTAACAATAATATGAACGAAGTATGCCCTATTGCTTATTAGCAAAATCTCAGAAAGCATCTTGTAATTTAACAAATTTTTAAAATTGCACTATTCATTTTAGAATGTTGTAATTTGAGTATGTTGCTTTTCAATCTATAAACTATGATCACGAATACTAAAACTGAAATATTTTCTCTCAAAATTTTAAACTATCAACGATAATATGAACAACAGACGAAGTAAGTAAATTGTTTTTCTCGCTCCGAATTCTCTTTTAAAAGTTTTGTTCTCATAGCGAATTTGTTCAGCAAGTTTTTAATAAGTTGGTCTATTATTTTGATCAATTTGTCTTTCGGTATAAAGACCAATAGACATTCATCAAATCATCAATCATGTTTTCTTGTTCTATTGTATAATTAATTTTGCCCAAAACAGGTTTGATAAACTATCTGACAATTGGCAAAATTCAACCGACCAATTGCATTTCATTGTGCCATGGTTGATTGCAAATTGCTTTGTGATTGCCATTTGTTAAATCAACTTACATAATTGATAGTAATGTAGTAAATATGATATGCAGTATAATAGCTTTGTTCCTAATGACAATACCGAAATAATTTTATTTCTTTTCTAAAGGATTCCGGAGACTTCAACTTCTCTACAAGCACTCTGCACGCCCTCAGTGGAAAACTGAAGCTCTCTCGAAGTCCACCAATGTCACCAAGACCTAGCCGAAGGTCTCTGACACCCAGCAGTTCCACAATAGTCCAAAACCATTCACAAGTTTCTTCCTCAGTAACAAGTACCTCAAATTCTGAAATATCATCGCAGGATTCGACATCTTCGTCAGCAACTAGTAGCAACTCCGTTTCCAATTCGCGCCAAAATGCAGATATATTTTTATATCCAGAAGAAGTTTTGACCCAAGAGCCTGAGGGAGTTGTATATAACGGTTACAATATGCCTCGAATAGCAAGCTCGAAGAAAATGGGGAATCAAGAAATTTCTAGTAAAAATTTGAGACAAGTTTGTCAACATTCAGCAGTTCAGGATAATGTTGTGAGGCAGGATCCTACAGCGCCTCCTCTGCCGCCACGGAAAAGTGCAGCTGAAATTTCTCTTCCTGCAGTGAAGGAACTGAAAAATTCGAACAAATCGAATATTACGTCTAGTTTAACGAATTTGAATGATGCAGGTCAATCTGCTGTACCGAACATGCTGCAGTTGCCGCCTAAAACTTTGACGGGCAGTAAAAGTTCAGAAAACTTATCGAATCTTGATCCTTTGACAAAGACTAAACAAGCGTCTTTGGATTCTGAACAAGATATCAAAACCAATGTGAAATTGTTCTCTTTTGATGTCCCCAAAACTATTGCTCCACCTGTTCCTGTAACGGAGAGCAAAATAGAAAAATGTTTTATATCCTCATCAAACGAAGTTATTGTAGGACCTGCCGAGACTATTATAGGACTTATAGACACGCGAACTCCTAACCAAATAAAATTATTCAATGGTAAATCTGAAGAAACCAATGGACAACAAAGTGCAAACAACTCACAAACCACAAATTTGTACCACATAAAAACTAGTTCTTCAAATTCTCACATCAGGCACCAGTCCTTACCCATGGTAGCAGTTTTGACTCAGGCAACTTCAAATGCACCTTCAAAATCTCAAACTGTATCAGAAAAATTAGCTTACGAGAACGTTAATGTTCAATTAAAATTTAAACAAAATCCATTATGCATGGCCAGTTGTAGTAAAGATGAGGATATGATGAATGTGCCATATGAAAATATTAATTTAGAATACATAGCAAAATTAGTTTCCGAAGGTTATTCGAAAGAAAACGTTATTAGGGCTTTAGGTATATCAAGGAATAACATTGAAATGGCTTGTGATATTCTGCACGAGTTTGCCTCGAAAAATAGTTGTTCACATTGAAGTAAAACTGTTTCTCTACCCATATTTATGGAGAATCATATATGTATATGAGAAATTGTTGGGTATTTTACGATTCAGTTTGTTTATATTGAGTTAGAAATTTATTGATGTCGTCGAACTGTATGGTAATCGTACCACATTCAATCGTATTTTTTGTTTGGGTTTGTTTTTGTTATAGAAATTAAGGGACCGATTCTGCCGCACGAGAGACCAATGTTATGGCAATGTCATTTTACCCTTCAACTTCCACACATTATGTTGCTGAATCATACTGAAAACTGTCAAAATTTCATGTGTTTGCTGTGCATTCAGGCGTTTTACACATAAACTGCAAAGTCATGTATGTTATGAAGCTGGGTCAGAAAAACCCATGTTATCTTTGATCGTTTTTTTTTTGACATTTGTGCGGTTTTTAGGTTAGGTTTTCTATCTGACATCTTGAGAAAGACGCCTAAATGCATAGCAACCACATCGCTTTTATCAATATTTAGTATGAAAAGTTCTTCATAACATGGCCTTGCCATAACATTGGTCTGTTATGCGGCAGAATTGGCCCATAATTTTGGTAAATCATTGTTAATTATTTACGTTAAAGTTAATTGTTGTAATTCATTCAGGTAAATTTCTATGCAGTTTCTCAATGCAAGTTTATAATGCTACATACACGGTGTCCCAGAACTCAACGTTGACGTCACGGATCAACCGATTTGAATGGTTCAGAAAACATTCGATTCTTGTTGATAGGGAGATGTGCTGGTTAGTTTTTGGCAAAGGCAGGTCTAGTCGTTTCGGAGATAGCAAAAATCGATTTGTTGAGAGAACGTATAATCCGATTTGAATGATCCAAAAAAATATTCAATTCGTAATGATTGGGCAGAATTTGTGATTAGTTCTTGGCAGAGGCAAGTCCAGATACAGAGCTAAATATGCAGAAGTTTTCGAGAGAACTGAGCATTCGATTTGAATGATTAAAATAACTTTCTGCTTGTGATGATGGGAAAAGATTTTTTTTTCATTTTTTCAAAATTCCAAATTTTTTTTAATATCGAAAATAATTCGGATTTTAATTTTAATTCTATCTAAAGTTCTGAAGCTCTCTTATATACTTCAAATAAATAATTTTAACTTTGCAATTCTGTTTATATAATTCTTATATCAGACAATATATATCAGACAATACTTCATTTTCAATCCGATTGATTAAGTTTTGTTCATTTACTTTTTTGTAAACATATATAAGTTACAGTATATATAATAATCTATTTGAAAACATTTACTATCCCTCGAATATTTCATTACGGTACGGAAAGTTCCAGCAACTTGCATTAAGGCACCATGCCATACACTAGTTTTTTCTAATTTTGCTGAGGGCAGTTACGGTCAATACTATTACCCCGTTTAGTTCTGGGACACCCAGTATATGAGTATTTAAGTATGGGTAAAAGTCTTTTTAATTCTATTGTTTATCCTTGATGTATGTTGTTATTAGTTTTGTAAAATTAATATTTTTATACAAATGAAAAGCTTTTTTGATTACGTTGATTACAGAAATGCTACATATCAGAAATGGAAAGATCTTATAATTTTATTATTGGGATGCTTAAAATTGATAATAAATTTGGCAATAGTTTTGCTTGAATACAAGAAATATTTTAAAATAATTTGTTTCAGCAAAATATATAATTATTTGCATATTCCAAGGTAAACCTAATGGCGAGTTGTATATTCTAAATTTATGTTTCAAATATTAGGATTTGTATAAATTGTAAATATATGAGCTAGCTGTATTATAAATTATTCAATACTAAGAAATTTATTTTTTGATATCTTCTTAACTTTTTATATTCATTTCTATGCACGAATTGACTTCAAGAAATCAGTAAAGCAAATTAGGAAATCAAAGTGATTGTTAGCTTTTTGATATTCGACAGATAAATAATAAAAGCCCAGTGCACGCGACGCCAGTATTTCTTGTAACAGGATATCTAGTTTTCTAGTAAGGTGAGCAAGAATCTTGCGTCAGATTTTCACTTATTTTATGATTAATAATAATTCTGTGCATTTTTAAATAGATTATTATAAATATAGGCATAATATGCACTTAAATTTATAAGTGTACAAATAGAGCATTGTATGAAATGTAAACAATAAACATATATGTATCGTAACCGATTAGGATGAATCCACAAGATGAATTAATCTCATATTTTTTTAAAAATTAAATAAAATAATAATAACTTTTACCTAACTTTTCACAACTTTTTAAATATTTTCATAACAATGTTAATTAACCGATAAAGATACTGATTTTAAAAATCAATAATTGTTATGTTAAGGTGCAGCATTTCATTATCTTTTTATTATTATTATTTCATTTCATTTATAAATTACCAGAAAACTGTTAAAAGAAATACTGGCGTCGTGTAACAGAAATCCTGTTACAAGAAATACTGGCATCGTGTTCACTGGGCTTCACATGGAAAAAAGTTGATGATATATTTTTAAAGATATATTAATATCTTAGATAGCTGGTAACTGTAAGCAACTGCCAATTTATGATAGGATAAGACAGTAGTCGAAGAATTTGTTTGTTCCTAATATATCTTGGAAACCTCAGATATTCTTATACGTATAAATATAAGATCAATGGTGAAGAGTAACTCAAGCATGTAATAAATAAAAAAAAATAATTGCAATAAATTTATCCTGTATACTATATACGATCACTATAATATGACAAAAATTAATTAATCTAATTATTTTGTATTTTTCATAGACACTTGTTTGTTTCAGTTCAGAAGATTTATTACCGAATTGACTGTCGGTAATAATAACAATTAAGTTCTATGCAATACATATTGTGTATAAAAATGTATATAATAAACTGCAATTCTAATTACTGTAAATATAAATATACATCGATAAATTCATATATTTTACTAAAAGGTAGTAGAGCTTAAAAACTAGCGAGCATGGAATCTGTATTTTAAAATAATTGTATTATATATTTTCAGAGCAAATGAATACTAGTTCTAGATATGTGTGTTCCTAATCAACAAACTCTTGTATAATAATGCTGTTTGAATGATGATACATGTTTTGTCTAGATTATTTATTTTAAATATATGATTATGAATATTCATATGTATTTGATTTCTCTACATATGAGAATATTGATTTTTTTAATTTTTATTATTAACTTCCCAAAGGGTAAGTTCTAGTAATCGCAAAAAAATCGAAAATGAAAATTTGCATATATCTTCAGAGGTTTCTGGACATTTTGGCATACCTTACAAAAAATGGATGTATTATGTGTGCATGTGTGTGCGGGTACAAATTTTCGTCGACGATTTCGCGAAAATAGATCAACCGATTTGAATAATTCAAATAACATTTGATTCCTACTGATAAAAAGAACATGCTGATTAGTTTTTGGCAAAGGCAATCCTAGCCGTTTTGGAGATACGGGACAAAAAGTGCCAAAAATGATATTTCAGTTCTTGGGATAACGGAGCGTCCGATTTAAATAATTCAGAAAACTTTTACTTGAATTGACAAAATGAACAACTGGTGAAACTTTTGTAAAGGCAGGTCCAGCCTCCCCAGAGAACCAATAAAACAAGTAAAATATAATGCCATTTGGTGGTCAAAAATTAACATTAGACATATGTACATCGTATTATCAGATATTTTATGAAGATTATAATAATAAGTACAAATTTTGTGTACATCTATATAGGTTTCGTATCAATGTTTAGACGTTAGACGTCTATGCGGCGCTTACGCGCTTCGACATTTCGACTCCAAATCAGCTATGCAGTGCGATATAACATTTAAAAAAATGTTCCAAATTTTCAAAAAAAAAAAAATCAAAATACAAAAAAAAAATCAAATGTTTCAAAATTCATTTTTTTCAAAAAATTTTAAATTTTTCAAAAATCTATTTTCAGTTTTGCAAAGTTTTTTTTAATAATTTAGTTTTCGGTATGGGAAGTTTTTTGTCAAATTATATTTTTGAAGAATATTTATCTTCATTCATATTAATGGAAAATTGTGGTTTAAATCTATTTGTTATGAAATATTTAGGAATCAGCCACTTTTTAACACAGGTTGGAAGATTTTTTTTATGATTTTAATTATATTATTACATATATAGAATTTTGAACATTCTTCTTGTTTGTTTAGCTTCATTGATTGTTATAGATGTATTTGGATCTTAGATTTGAAGTCTTATTTTTAATGTAATCATGCATTTTATCCTTATATAGTATATACTAAAGTATGAAAGCATAACAGAGAGTTCAAGAAAATTACCAGCAAAATAGTAAGTAAATAGGCATATATTTATGTGAGCATTTGTACATATTGTTCTCTAATTCTTATTATTTTGTTTTAGGGTTCAATGTTGATGGTTTCAGTTTGTTTATAAAAACTGAGAGGAATGGTTCCAGAAATGATGGGCACTGCTTTCGCTAATACTGTGTGGAAGAAACTATATACCCTTAAGGCACTCAGGCACAGTAACCTGGTCCAAATCTTTTCCATAATATTTCAATTTTAAGAGCGTCAGCCCAGATGGATATATCAAGTCAGCAACGAATAGAGCTACTGAATGCTGTAATATTTATTTATTTTGGATCTGTAACATTAGATAGATATCAGTCGTGCAAGACTGACTCTCACTCCTTACTTGTAAGTATGTATAGTTTCATACCTTTATTTAGCCGCTTGGAAGTTTACAGTATCCATTCACTGATTAAATGACAATTTGGTCGAAGGTAATTTGAAATTGATTTCAAATATCCTGAAGGTACTTGCCGTTGATCACTATAGGGATTGAACCAAATTTCAATTAAACTTATTGTTAGTTAAATAATATTTTTTTGCCATTATTGTGACAGTGAATATTTTATGAATGATTCGATATAAGTAATTCAGCATTTTAAATCAATTAATGGTAGTAACTATTTATATACAAAATTAGTATAAATAAAATGACA